CACTCTATATATATATATATTGTATAGTAATATATAGTACGTATGGTCACCTGAGAGGAGGTGCTCCATTGGACGTCAACAACAATAATAAATTATTAAAAAAAAAAGGTGTAACTACGGTGATATTTCAATGATTCTTAAAGCATTGCATATGTTATCAATAAATTAAAGCTTAACAAGGCCCCCACTTTCTATATGGCAAATAACAAATTAATTTACCAATGAAAACAGGTTCCACGTTAATTAAAATTTTTAAAATGCGTTAATTAGGGGGTAACTTCTCATGTGCAAATATCAACCAAAGTACGTTTTCTTTTAAAGCGTTAATTTGTAGATGACATTTAAAATTAATTAATAATAATAAAAGGGAGAAAATAATTAAAAACAATATCACGTGCCCTTTTGTGCCCATTTGAGATCGTCAGCTCGGGGTTTATATCCTGTTGTGAACTCGATTATGTATTCTAAGATCCCCCAAAATCTCAACTTTTCCAGGGGCCAATTGAGCCATCCGGTTGTGATGCAAAAATATGTTTCATGGGGTGCCACGTGATGAATTCGATGGTGACGACGTGGCAGTATAACGTGGTGCTCCTGTAACCATATTACCCACTTGGGTAGCCCAAAATATGTGTGAGACCATTTATGGATCTACAAAATATTAAATACATTATAGGAAGTATTAAGAAATAAAGATTTTTTTTATACATCATCATTAACTTAACAATCAAGTTAATTATTTGCGACCTTAAAGTGAAATTTAATTGCAAGGAAAAGAAATACATATTAAAATTTAATTAATACAATCTAATACACGAGTAAGAATGAGAAAAGTGCACACCAACTTCTTTTTCGATTAAAAAAAGGTAATCATAGCACATTTTCTGGTCTCATATTAAAAATTCAAATAAATCAATATCTATAAAATATTTCTAGTTTTAGGTATTTATTGATTTCGAACTTATCCTTAGAATAAATTATTCATAGTTAAAACTTAGTAAATAAAAGCAAATAATACTAGAAAAAGTACACACAATAAAAACAATTCCAATGAAAAATAAATGTAACATATAATATAGAAAAAAAGAACTGAACCTTAAATAATGTATGTATAACAACTTTGAAAACATGATTTTTCAAATCAACTGCATTAAAATAAGTACAATTTTAGAGATTGAGGGAGAATATTTTTCAGAAATTTTGGCTTATAAATAAAAAATGCGGTTGAAAATTTAAAAAAAAGCTAGGAATGTATAAACAGAATACATGTGTATGATATCCTACTCGATGATTGCATCGCACCTACGAATTTTGACGGCCCCCTTTGGGTCCTTTTTGCAATAAAAATACATACTGTAAAATTATTGAGATAGCGTTTACATCAACGACATAGTCTGTACAAACCTATACAAAAACCTTCAACAACAGAAAGTTGAGCTCCTCATACTATTAAAAATATAATATATGCATAACAAACTATGGAATAGCAAACGAATGAAATACTATAATCAAAAATTCCATAAAAAAACGTTAGTTGGAAACTGAGGATATTAATTTTTTAAACGTTCCTATCTGGTTTTCGATTTTAGTGGTTTATTTAGATTACAATTAGTTCCACAGAACTACATTTGATTTTCTTGAATATATGTACTTATGTGATAAATAAATTTATCATTAGATAAAAGCAATAAATCTATTTACACCTTAATTAGCACAACATTACAAATTAGATGATAAAATAGCCAAGCAACACTAACTTCACAAGCATATTTAAACTACATATATATTTATACTTTGTTTTATTTCTTACCTGATTTGTCATTGCAACAAATATAGCCAACAGAAATACAAAACAGATCCAAAGGAATTTATTTCGAAGTTGTTCCTCTGGCAAAACGATAAAATCCCAAACTATCTTTGCTAGGAATGGAATGGTGACACCAAAATTGTCTCCGTTTGTTTCAATGAAGTCATGCCGAGTTATCGACGTAGGGTCAATGTGGTGCTCACGAAAAGGCCTCAGGAAATTCTACGGTGTTAAACTCTAAATATATGCAAGCTTTTACAGTTTCTAACTGCAGGAGAACAGCTATATGTTAACATCTATGTTAGCTTGTTAGTAAATGATTTAAGTTACTTGTGAGAAATGTAATTTTTAGTATGCATCATGTACACCCTATTCTGGCTTTACAAGACAGATAGTTCCTGAAACATTGGCGTAAAAATATACATTATATTTATAGAAAACCGCAAAATGGCTTTAAATTCTTAAAAATAAGTAATAATGTAGAAAACTATTCAAAAGTTTGTGTCAGAATTTTAACATTTATTGACCGGGTAAAATTATTAAAGGTGTGCAAATTTTATTTTAATTTTTTACACATTAAGTAAATATCAAACAGATATTTTATGCCAAACTTAAAACGCGAATTTTAGACGAAAACATTTTAATATGTATTAAAGTTATCATTCGACAAATTGTGGACAATAAAATGAAAAATTTAAAAATGAAATGTAATCGATGATTTGTAAGTGTGACGTTACTTCTAAAATATGAGAAATGTATTATGGAAAAAATCTCTGCAATTTTAATAAAAAAACAAATTTCAAAAGAGAATGAAATTATGACTTACTCTACGTTAATAAAAATTAAAATATAATTCGTGCACATATCATGTATATGTTGATTCTATAAAAACTTAATAAATTATTTTCAATAATTTTTAAGGTAGAAACATTCATTGTTTTCACATAAACGAATCTTTCAGGAACATGCCGATCATGTAAAACAGCATAAGTATTAATTAAGTTATTTACTACAATTTTTGGCCATGCAAATTTTTCTGTACCTGTCTGTCTTTTTTAGGCCCACAACCATTTCTCTTTTATTAACAGAAATTTTGATTAAAAGTAAGAACAAATATCATTTGTATAAAACTGTTCCCTTCTGAACTGCATGCACAAATATATACCTTTCCTATAATAGGTAATTCAACTGATCCCCAAGTGTCTGCTCCCCAATGTACAAGGCCCGAAGCAAAATCTGCTGTCATTATGCCAAACAATGCTGCCAGTATTATACTACTGAAGTTTGCCAAATGAATATGAGTAACGATAAAAAAAAAATTGACAGCCATAAGGGTGATACAAATACCAACGCAAATGCATTCCTGAGTTCTTTTACCTGTAAAAGAAAGTACAAATCTTACTGTATTATATTAAAAATAAATGTTCAAATTATAATCCTAAATATATTTGAAATGAAACTTAAAAATTACACTACTGCAACTATATTCGATATTTTACAACACTGTAATCAGAATACAGAAATCTTTTTATGAACAATATAAAAGGCAACGAAATATAACAATTACCTACTGCATAAAGTAACATTCAAATGTTTAAAAAAAACATGCTTAATTCAAAAAGTACATAGTTAATGTCGATTTAAAAAATAAGCTAAAAAATCAGTAAAATTTTAGTATAACCTGTTGTGTATAGATTAGCTAATTCTTGGGCTCCTTTATGTTGCGGGCCCCATCGTGGTCGCATTTTTTCTTCTTGAGTAACAGCACAATTTGCATTGGGATCATCTTCCAACATTGAGTTTTCCAAAATCTGCTGTTCTGTTTTAACAGGGGCTAGAATTTTGTTTGCCATAGTTGAACCGATGTCTAACTTCTGATCTATGCCGGCACTCGAAAGTGCCTCTTTTACTCTCTGAGAGCATGAAAGAGGCAGAGACAGGCTCATGCTTAAAAGGGACTTTGTAAAGTAGTATATCACAATTAATCACAGTGCGTTTTTTATTCTTTTTGCAACATCGTCACTACAATGTAGCAAGTATTAACAGTCCAATTTTGTTGATTAGCTCCAGTAAGCACCAGCAACTACCAGCCACGACTGACAAAGCCACATTTACAATTCATATTCAGAAAACGACCGACAGAAACGATGATATTAATTGAATAAATCGAGCCGAATTTCCAAAGCACAAACATTGTATTCACTCCTGGAGTCCATTTTATTTATAATAGCAGTGTTCGTTTAAAATCTAATGTAACAAACTGTTACTTAACTATAATACCTACATACAAATACTAATAAATGGGTGCGACCGGTGATATCATCCATGGATTTTAAATGTTTGTAGTATAACTGTACTGTAAGGGCGCAAGCCTTTTTAATTTTATTTTATATAATAATAAAATCGTTANNNNATAATAAAATCGTTAATAAAATTTATAATTATAAATGAAAATTGACAACTGTCATATCAAATTTAAAATAATTTAAACGAAAGACGAGTATTATTTCACTGCACATGTATGGGATTTGATATGAACAACGTATAAAAATACACTATTACGTATAGCGCGTATAGCATAGTGTGTCCTTTAAAAATAAAATAAATTAATCAGTTTATTTATGTATTATAGAATACATAATAGCCGATGATGTATACTACTGTTATTCTTTCTGCTAAATACTGATTAACAAATAAGTTAAAGGAAGACACAGTGACGTACATTTAAACTTTATCTTTATTTTCGAAATAAAAGAGTTTATTGATTTCTTATTTTGTTATTTTTAAGGACCTTCATAAAAATGCAAACACCTTTATGAGTAATATAATGTCTTGCTTAAGTATTAATTACGTGTTTCTTTTTAAACTTGGATCCTCTGCTCTTTGATGAGACTTGATGATATTTTGCTATATATCCACAACATTCCTTCTCTTCTCTTTTTCAATCTCACGTAATTAATGGACGATCTATTATTGTATTAATATTTAAAGAAGTTTTATTTATACCTATATACATAATGATAAGAATAGTGTAACCAAATATTAATTACAGGTGTAAGAATTGATATAACACATAAGTAAACAGTTAAAAGGTGGTTGTTTTCACATAAGCATATATGTGTTGTTTTAAATATAGGTTTATTAAAGAAATCTTTAAGTATGTCAGGGTATATCCTAGATTTAATAAAAAGAGTGACTTGATGTAGTGGTAAATCAACCAGATTTACTAGCATTAATTTAAGTACATTTAGGTTTATTGAAAAAAAATTAATTAAACCCTTTTTTTGAAATGTCTTTAAAAATTGTACATCTATTAAATATAAAAAGGAGCAGACGTACACCACTGCTACATTTAAAAATAATTATTGTTTGTAAATGTTTCTTTCTTCTCGGTTTCGCCATCTTACTGGTAAATTTGTAATACATTTGTCACATTTACAATTTGTTTGCAGGTATTTGTAATCATTAAAGTAACAGTCATAGATGGTCATAAATTCAACAGAGGTGATATGAGAACATGATGATTGATGCTATCTATGATTATACACTGCATTGATAGCACGATGACCATAGACGAAAACAGTCAGCTACTCTCTGGTCTATGTATATGACGGTCAGTTTGTCATAGATATGCAGATGCCACGGTGGTCATATTCCCGCATGCCATGAACTACAAACGCACATGCACTAATCCATCACCATACTGTTACTAATCTATACACACTTATTAATCTATGATCATAGATAATAGATATACAAAGGGTAATCTATGATCGAACACAAGCACTGACAGTATATATTTCCATAGGCAAGATATATTTCATGACATTTCTTAACTATATGCAAGTATATGAACGCTACGCCGCGGTAAGCACGCCGGTTGATGTTAAAAACGTGCTATTAGTTTTTGTAAGTTTTATAACTTTTAACTAAAACAGAATTAGTTATTTTTAATTTCGTAAGTAAAAGGAAATAATGTCGAAACCACCATATAAAGTTGGTAAGTTTATAAGCTTTTCACCCCTAACCTGCCGATAAATAAAATTGTACGTTTTAATATCTTATAGCTAATTTGAGTTTATCTGAGTGGGGAAGAAAAGAAATAGATTTAGCTGAAAATGAAATGCCTGGACTAATGGCTATTCGTAAGAAATATGGACCTCTTAAGCCACTGAAAGGTGCTCGAATTGCTGGATGTCTTCATATGACAATTCAAACTGCTGTTTTAATAGAAACATTACTGGAATTAGGAGCAGAAGTAAGTCAAACGCAAGCTTGAAATTCTTGTAACAGTAAAAATAAGGTAGATAAGTTATCTTAAGATAACCCTTTACATTTAAAGATAAAATGCTAATCATTAACTTTTGAACCTTGTCAAAAAATATAAATATGAAAGAAAATTTAAATGATAACTAGAAAGCAGTATTGTATGATAAGCATTTTTTATTTGAATGAAATGTCAAATTCGCTTATTTACAGATTTATTTTTAGTTTCTTAAATAAATTAAGAAACAACTAGAGATAACCACACAGGTAAATTTCTGTTGGTCTAGCTCTAGTTATTCAGGTTTTTATGTTATTTAGATATAGAACAAACAGAATAGCTCAAAACCCCAACGCCAAAACACGACACTGTAGTTGTCCGAAGCACTTTTCGGTAACAAAGTTACCTTCTTCAGGGACTGAAGTAAACTCAGTGTCGTGTTTTGGCGTTGGGGTTTTGAGCTATTCTGTTTGTTCTACAACAACCGCCAAAGTTTTTCCAATCTTCATATTTTATTTAGATATGTTAATTTTAATTGTTTAATTTGTTTTTGAGGTACAATGGTCAAGCTGTAATATATTTAGTACACAAGATCATGCAGCTGCTGCCATGGCAAAGAGAGGTGTCCCTGTTTATGCTTGGAAAGGGGAAACTGATGAGGAATATATTTGGTGCATTGAACAGACATTATTATTTTCTGGTGACAGGCCTTTAAACATGATTTTAGACGATGGAGGTGATTTGACAAATCTTGTGCATACAAAACATCCCCAATATTTAGAGCAGATTAAAGGAATAAGTGAAGAAACCACTACAGGGGTGCACAATTTATACAAACTCCATAAAGAAGGAAAATTGAAAGTTCCAGCTTTTAATGTTAATGATTCTGTTACAAAAGTAACAACATCAACTGGTTCTTACTTGTTTATTTCCTTACATTCTTTTTTATATTTTTTAGAGCAAGTTTGACAATCTTTATGGCTGTCGAGAATCCCTAGTTGATGGAATTAAACGAGCTACTGATGTTATGTTGGCTGGAAAAGTATCAGTTGTAGCTGGTTATGGAGAAGTGGGCAAAGGATGTGCTCAGTCTCTTCGTGCATTCGGCAGTCGAGTGTTAATAACTGAAATAGATCCAATAAATGCCTTGCAGGCTGCCATGGAGGGTTACGAGGTGACTACAATGGAAGAAGCGTGTAAAGAAGGTCAGATTTTCGTCACGACTACCGGAAACAAGGATATCATTAAAGCGGAGCATTTTATAAATATGCGAGATGACAGTATAGTTTGTAACATTGGCCACTTTGACTGTGAAATTAATGTATCTTGGCTTGACAAAAACTCAAAAGAAAAAGTAAACATTAAGCCGCAAGTCGATAGATATACTTTAGAAAACGGAAGACATATAATTGTACTTGCTGAAGGACGTTTGGTCAATTTGGGTTGCGCTATGGGACATCCCAGTTTTGTTATGTCTAATTCATTTTGTAATCAAGTCTTGGCACAAATTGAATTGTGGACTAATCAAGGCAAACACCCTGTTGGAGTTCACATGTTGTCAAAAAAGCTTGATGAAGAAGTAGCAGCTCTTCATTTAGAACATTTGGGAGTCAAACTTACAAAATTAACACCTAGTCAAGCAGAATATATTGGAGTTCCTATAACAGGACCCTTCAAACCAGATCATTATCGGTATTGAAGTAAAAAGTTTCCAATTATCTACCATTTTTGTAGCTAAAAGTTTGATTTCTTAAATATGAAAGTTACCCTCATTGCAAAGAGGAAGTGATCAAATCTTCTATAATAAGTCTCAACTAATTTGTAGCTATTTTATTTAATTTGCCTTTTATGTAAAATAATATATTGGTTTGATAGTGATNGGCATAGCACCAGCACAAACAGGAGTAAAGAGGGATAGAGGAAGACCTAGATTAGGATGTTAACAAATAATTAAAGATATGAGATATTGTAGTTCTCGGGAAATAAGAAGAATGGCTCAAGGTAGAAGGGAGAAGAAGTGCGTATCCAACCATTTTTCGGACCGAGTATACGGATTTTTTTCATAATAATCTTGTTTCAATACGGTTCGAAAGAAGAAGGGGAGATTGCTAAAGTACCAAAGATTATTTCCAAAAATTGGACTTTAAAATGAAAAATGCTAAATGAAAACTAATTTCTATGATACATAGAGTAGCACGGCAACTAGGACGAATGGATGGACTAAGGAACATGAAATTAGGAGGACTTCGTTTTTCCCTAGAAATTCTCAATTACCTCACCTTCCTTTACGTTATGAATACTTGACTTAACATATACAACGGGATCTATTTAAAAAATAATCTTTTTTAATGTGGTAATAAAAAAATTTAAGACTTCATATAATAAATCACTCTATATATATATATATATATTGTATAGTA